ACCCTCCGACAGCGCGGCGCCCCCTCGGCGCCGACCCTCCGACAGCGCGGCGCCCCCTCGGCGCCGACCCTCCGACAGCGAGTCTCGCTTGGTGCTGAGTCTGATATCACGTCATTAGAAAATCCTTTTTGCCCTGTTGTCTGCTCTGTCTTATGATTCTCCTGATTTTCTTTGTTCTCCTTCTGTCTCTCACCAGTTCTCTCTGTTGCGATTGGCTTCAGGAACGAGCTTGCCCACTTTATTTCTCTTCAATCAGTCAGACACATTACAATGCCAGCGGAAAAACCCACTGTCTTGGGCAGTGATAGAGAGTTTGGAGTTCCCTGATCACCTCTCCACATGGAACGTATGAAACAAAATGGTTAATGCTCCTTACGAGGAGTTTTTGAACAGAAGTTTGGCGGTTCTGAGGAGCATGTTGCCACAGTTTCTTGGTTTGTGTTTATTTCACCCCTGGTGCTAACGAGGGGCAAATTCTTGTGTTTTCCTGCCAAGGAAGGGAGTGGGGGGAGAAGTGTTTCAAGACTGATTTTGTGGAATGAATTTTTTTTTTGTGGTTGTGAAAATATTCTTTGGTTGAATTAATAAAAGCCCACAAAAGAAGGTGTGTTTTGGGACGTTCTGTCACCATGACTACTCAGGCTCTGGCACGTTAATGTGTTTGTTCCTTTAAGGCTGCTATTCTGTGTCTTTCTCTCTGTGTCACTGTGTGTCATACTCTCTGTTGTGTGTTCTTTCACAAACAGGAGGGAAGTACAGAGGGAGTGACAGCATTAACAGAGCCTTGCGTGCTTGTTTCTGTCTGTCCTGAGTCTAAACGTAATATCATTGGGCCTTTCACCCCCTAACTGGACTGATTATTAATTCACAGCCTCGTGGCAAAAGGTCTTGAAGTAGCAGTGATCATAACACAATTGCATTTTACCTGCGGTTTGAGGGAGAGAAGAGCAGCCTTTTAAAAATTAAAGGCAAGTTACGAGGGTGTGAATGAAGAGCCATCTCCAACAAACTGGTGGAAAATGTTGAGAGATTGGTCCATGTAGGAGCAGAATTAAGCCAATCAGCCAATCGAGCCCGCTCTGCCATTCGGTCATCGCTGATGTGTTTCTCAACCTCCACTCTCCTGCCTTCTCCACTTATCCCTCGATCCCATTACTAATCACGAACCTAGCTTTCTCTGTCCTAAAGACTCTCAGTGACTTGACCTGCACAGCCCTGAGTGGCAGTGAGTTCCACAGAGTCACCACCTTCCGACTGAAGAAGGTCCCCTTCTTCTCAGTTCTGAAAGGTTGTCCCTTCAGCCTGAGGCTGTGCCCTCGGGCCCTAGACTCAATAGAGGGGCCTAAAATGAAGTGAAGAGCCACTGTCTGAGGTTAGCTTTTTAAACAAAAAGTTAAACACAGCATGAAACTTAAAGAAAAAGTTTCGCGATCAGTACTTTATGGGCAGAAACACCGTGAACATCAGTCTGAAGTGGCAGCTGCCTGGATGTACAGTACAAACAAAAACAGAAATTCCTGGAAAAGATGCACAGGTCTGGCAGCGTCTGTAGAGAGAAATCAGAGTTAATGTCTTGGGTCCTCAGAACAGATGGTAGCTAGGAAAATGTTTCGGATGCTATTGGTCTGCCCACTCATTCAGCTTGTCCAGAGAATGGTGAGAAGGGGAAAGTTGAATTACGAGAGAAGGTGAGCTCGAAATACAACCAGAGAGGAAGAGAAGTGAGTGTTGGTCCTTGACAGTGTGGGTCCAAGGAGTTGATGGTGGAAAATAAGGATCAAACAGGTGTTTTCGCTGGCCTCCAGTGTGGAGGAGGAAGCAACATCCGAGAAATAGCTGTAAATTGGGAATTGAGAATGAGGGATTCAGGAAGATTGCAATCGCTGCACCAAAGGTCCTTAGACAGCACCTCCCAAACCCCACGGCCACTTCCATCCAGAAAGACAAGGGGCAGCAGGTACATGGGAACACCAGCCACGCACCCCCCCACCCCCTGCAAGTTCCCCCTCCCAGCCCCTCCCCATCCCGACTTGGAAATATATTGGCCGTTCCTTCAGTGCGGCTGGGTCTGAATCCCTGGAATTTAGGTCTACCCTACAGCACATGGATTGCAGTGGTTCAAGAAGGCAGCTCACCCCCACCTTCTTAAGGGTGGCAACTCGGGACGGGGCGATACATCAAAGCCCATGCTCCCTGAATGAATATGTTAAAAATATTGGAAAATAGTGACTGCGTTAGGTTTGAGAGAGGGAGGGTGTTTTCACTGAGCAACAGGACCTGGGACTTCCACCCTCACAACTTATTAAAATAATTCAGGTGAAGGGATTGAGGGTATAGGAGCTAAATGACACAAAGTTGGGCAGGAAAGTGAGTTGTGAAGAGGACATAAAGGAATCTACAAAGGGATGTGGATTGGCTCAGCGAGTAGGCAGAGATCTGGCAAATGGAGTATGATATGGGAAAGTGAGAAATTGTCCATTTTGGCAGAAAGAAGGGGGGAAAATAAAGCATGTTATCGAAATAGTGAGAGGTTGCAGAGTTCTGAAATGCAGAGGGATCTGGGTGTCCCAGTGCGTGAATCGCAAAAGGTCAGTCTGCAATGAGGAAAGCTAACGACGCTCTGTTTTACCATCGAAGGAACTGAATACCAGAGTAGGGAGGTTGTGCTTCAGTTAGACAGGGTATTGGAGTACTGTGTACAGTACTGTTCATCTTATTTAAGGAAAGATGGAAATACATCGGAAATCGTTCAGAAAGGGTTGACTGGACTGATACCTGGAATGAAGACCGAAACTGCTGGACAAACTCGGTAGCTCACGGGACCTGAAACATTCACTCTGCTTTCTCTCCACAGATGCTGCCAGACCTGCTGAGTTTCTCCAGCAGTTTCTGTTTTGATTGCAGATCTGTGCAGTTCTTGGTTGGATGATAGTTGGACTGAGTGTTGTATGTTGCTCAGTGTGTGTCTGTATTTGTGTTTTTGTCTGTCAATCAGTGTGTTTGTGTGTGCGTGTGTGTGTCTGTCTGTCGGTGTGTGTGTGCGCGCGCGCGCCAGTCTGTGTCTGTCTATGCACGTGTGGCGTGGGTGTCTGTGTGTCTGTGTGTATATGTCTGTTTCTGTGTCAGCCTGTGTGTGCACGTGCAAGTTTCTCTTTCTGTGAGCCTGTGTGTGTGCATGCACACGTGTCTGTTTCTGTGTGAGTCTGTGTGTGCGTCTGTTTCTGTGTCAGCCTGTGTGTGTGTGCATGCGCGTGCATCTGTTTCTGTGTCAGCCTGTGTGTGTGTGTGCACGCGCGTGCGTCTGTTTCTGTGTCAGCCTGTGTGTGTGTGTGCACGTGCACGCGCGTGTTTCTGTGCGTGTGTGTGACTGTTCTATGTGTGTCTGTAGAGAGCAGTATTGCCCCACTGTACTGAGCTCTCCATTGATTGTCTCAGTTGATGCTGTGAATGTGTTCCCAGAGCAGCTGGCATCTGACAGTGACACAGGGCTGTTGGCAATCATTCAGAAAATTTGCTTCCTATCTGAGACCTTTGTACCCCGGAAATGTTTCTAATGTTAAAGGCGCTGAGCGAAAAGCTCATTGCTGCACAGAAGTTCACAAAACTTTGAATTCCAACCCGAGTTTTTGAAAGACTGTTTAGGCCAGATCTTAGTTAACGTCCTGTACAGCCGCAACATGATGTGTGCTGACCAATAAAGGCAAGCGTACCAAACACCTTCTGCACCGCCCTGTCTACCTGCGACTCCACTTTCAAGGAACTATGAACTTACACTCCAAGGTCTGTTTGTTCAGTGACACTCCCCAGAACCTTACCATTAAGTGTATAAATCCTGCCTTTCCAAAATGCAACACCTCACGATCTGAATTAAACTCCTTCTGCCACACCTTGGCCCACTTGAACAAGATCCCATTGTGCTCTGAGATAGTCTTCTTCACTGTCCACTATACCAACAACTTTGGTATCATCTGCAAATTTAGTGTGCCGCTTTTGAAGGTGGTTGTGGTTGTGGGGTTTGGAAGGTGCTGTCTAAGGAGCCTCGGTCAGTCTCTGCAGGGCATCGTGTAGATGGTACACACTGCTGCGACTGAGCGTCAGTGGAGGATGTGGGAGTGTTTAATGGGGATATGCTGCATCTAATGCTGTGCTGTCCCTGTTCCTGGGAGTGTCGAGGGAGCTTTACTCTGTATCCAATCCCTGTTCCCCCTGTTTTTTTTCTGAAGAAGGGTCCGGACCCGAAACGTCAGCTTTCCTACTCCTCTGATGCTGCCTGGCCTGCTGTGTTCATCCAGCTCCACTCTGTGTTATCCCTGTTCCCCTGTTTTTTGTTTTTTGTTTTTTGGGAAGAGACAGTTGTGAGTGGGCTTGTGGGTCCTGTACAAAGCTCAGGCCCTGTCCTGTTTGAGTTCCTAGCCCCAGTCCTGAGAGAGGGTCCACGCGTTTTGAGTCCTGTCTGGGATTGTTCGATATTCCAGCTGAGAGCATCATTCAAAGCTACATGGCCCACACAGCATCGAGGGCTCTCTCTCCCACACGTCACTCAGGTCATTCACTCTGGCCTGTGAATCCTTGCTCTGAGTCCATGGGCCTCCTCATCGGGCTATGTTCTCTCAGCCTGGCTGCACTGTCGGTCTTGCTCAGACAGCCCAGCACTTCGTGCTGTCATGTATCTCCCAGTCTGCAACTGGTCCAGACAGAGCGGTCACTGAGCTCAGACAGGACAGGATGGTGCAGAGGGAGCTTTTCACCGGGGGTCGGTACTCTCACTCTCAGACTCGCACGCACACATACACACTCATGTACAGTGACAGTCTCTCACACACTCACAGGCACAATCATTCTCTCACACCCACACACACTCTCTCTCTCTCACACAAACTGCGTGTCTCTCTCAAACTCATTCGCTGACAGAAACTCAGTCACAAACACACACATACACACACTCGCACAAACACACATGCACATACACACACACTCTCTCTCACACAAACTCCGTGTCTCTCTCAAACTCATTTGCAGACAGACACTCAGACATACACTCTCGCTCAGTCACAAACACACACACACACTCTCACAGACGCACGCTCACACACACTCATAGATGCTCTCTCTCTCTGTCTCAGACACAAACACTCTCTCACACTCCATTGGAAGGATGATCTGAAACTTGAAAGGGTTAAGAAAAGATGTACAAGGATGTTGGAGGGATTGAGCTACAGGGAGAGGCTGGGGCTGTTTTTCCTGGAGCATCAGAGTGTAGAGGTTTATAAAACCATGAGGGGCATGGATAGGGTGAGTACCCTTTTCCCCCCAGGGTAGGGGGAGTCCAAAACTAGAGGGGCGTAGGTTTAAGGTGAGAGGGGAAAGGGACACAAAGGACAACTTTTTCACACACAGGGTGGTGCGTGTATGGAATGAGCTGCCGGAGGAAGTGGGTGGAGGCTGGTACAGCTACAACATTTAAAAGGCATCTGGATGGATACATGAATAGGAAGGGTTTAGAGGGATAGGGGCCAAATGCTGGCAAATGAGACGAGATTAATTTAGGATATCGGGTCAGCACAGACGGGTTGAACTGAAGGGTCTGCTTCCATGCCACTCTC